TTCTACTAAGACACAGTGTTCTCTCTTCTGTCTGGGAAACAGTTTGACTTTTTAATGCCACTTGCCTTTCGTGTTACTTTAAATAACAAAAACAGAACCGGCAAATCCTTGCGTATCCCTTGACTCCTCCAAGCAGATGCTTCCATACTTGCCCCCAAGAATGTAAACAAGCTGAGAAGCGCAGCAAGGCTAATGGATAAAACATGGAGCTTTCTTTGGGCCAGACCAGCAACAGCTCCAATTTGCTATCGTGCTTGTAGGTGGGGCCCCAGTTAACTAGGAACGTCTGCAAAGCCAGTGTGTGCTGCTACATTATGGCACAAGGGGGGACTGCCCCACCAACCTCAGCCTGCCCTCAGCCAGTCTCCCACCTCCCTAATATTCCTACTTGCAACCAGTCCAGAGGGTGGTACCAGCTTCACTCCTTCTCGACCTCAGTGTTGCCTTTGAGGAACTCAGCAGAGAGAAGAAAGGGCACACAAATAGAATGCACTGGCTCTGTTTGACTTCAGTCCTGGTTCTGCCTACAATGTTTGAGCTCCCGGCCTTCCATTCTACCAATGGGCACCAACCACCACTATGTAATGCGCATCAATGACCCATGTATACAGATTCTACTAGTGTGATGTCCATGGAGCACCCAGATATGCACACTGCCTGGTCTGCCCTCCTCCCCTAAGCTAGCCTGCTGCCTCAGGAGTGATGGGAGTCCTTTGGCCAGGCTCCACTGACGAAACCACCACCAATGTGGCAAACTTTCTACACATCAGCATGCTTTAATAGGAACTGGGTGACTAAAGCTCCCAACCAACCAAACTAGCACTCAAAAACTCATTCTAGTGTGATTGTGAACATGCAGCCATACACACACACACACGCACACACACACACACTAGTTTTTTGTTGTGCTGTTGATCCCAAACAGTCTTTTGCGTGTGAACTGTAAAATCGTATTTGTTTGACTGTGCTCTAGTGGCTGATCTGAAATCTTAACCATAAAGATTGATTGCTTTGAACACCTATATCTTAAAAGAGTGCTGCATACCTCAAAAGCTCATACACAATCTTGTGGCTCAGTTGGTAGAGCGTGAGACTCTTAATCTCAGGGTGATGGGTTTGAGACCCACGTTGGGCAAAAGAATCATGCATTTTGGGGGGCTGGACTAGATGACCCTTGCGGTCCTTTCCAACTCTACTATTCTATGATTCTGTTACTGTTCTAATATAAGATATTGCTTTATTTTGGAAGGGGTGAGGTATCTGGCGGCTCTGCAAAAACAAACAAAAACAGCTCGTACTCAATATAATTGATCATGCCAGTAAGTTAACTGTGATGTGTCATATGTCTATGAATTCAATAATGCTTAGTTTGTTGAATTCTAGTGTGTTAATGTTAATAATGTTTTGTGGATTTCTTTAATGTTTTGTTAATAGTGTTTTATAGAATGTGGTTGTTTCACTGGTGATTTGTTAATTATTCTATATGATTTATGTTCTATCTGTGATGTTCTATTAAGTTATTGATATTTATCATTCATGAGCTGCTTTGTGATTCATGTGAGTGAAAAGCAGCATAGAAATATAATATTAATATGGTTTCTTCTGTCGCTTAAGAAGGCACTATAGGTACATTAGGTATATGTCCCTGTGCAATAAATGGTCTTGCCAGATTGTGCACTGAGAGTTTCGCTGTAAGGATTATCACTGCAAATAAGACAGGCTGGCAAAAGAAAGGGGAATGCACTTGGATTTGAGGTTTCTTGCAAGCCTTTTTTTGAAAAAAACTGTATTATCATTGTAAATAGAGTTACAAGGACAACGGAAAACAATACGCAGATATAGTGTTACTCACATGGTTGAGTTCCCCCATTAGCCTTGGGGATATATGGATTACACCACTGTGGTTTTTTTCTATATTTAACAATACGTTAACCTAAACAATAAGGATGGCAATTAATCTCCTTGGGCACATCACCAGAAACAATTCTTTTTCTGCTTTTCCCACAGATGGATCATTTCAGGTTGGGCGTTTTTGCAGAAATTGAGTGGTTTTGCTTAATGAAATCTTCCCAAGTTCAGATCCTTAAGTAAAGCTCAAGGCCAAAACTAGTTTAGAAATCTCATACAAACATCACTTGCCTGTTTCTCTAGCCCTGTTCTGAGTAACTTACGAAATGCATCCCAACCTCACAACACAACACTAAGTATTTAGCTGTAATACCAATGAATAAATCTTTCTGTCCCTTGTAAAGTGCAGGAGTGGGAATTGACACTCATGGTTAAACAAACAAAACAAAACACTCCAGGGCAGACACAGGCTGATTGCAAAGACAAATGGGGTCCTTTCACCTGAGTTCCAGAGCTATAAGTGTAAATGTAATGCTAAGTGGCACAACGAGACAGCGTTAATCAAATCGCCAAGACTGCCATCTCTACACCCAGATCTGCTTTGCCAACACCAACACTTGCTGCTTCTGGCACTTGGAAAAGGTGCCATGATGGTATATCTTAGTAGTTAAGAGCAGAAGCTAAGATCTGCAAGTGGCCCTGGTTCAAATCTGATGCGGGTTCCATATGTGCCTGATGGCCTACCACAAGGCTTGGATTCACAAATGGGTAAAGGTAAAGGTACCCCTGACCGTTAGGTCCAGTCGTGGATGACTCTGAGGTTGCAGGCTCATCTTGCTCTATAGGCAGAGGGAGCCAGTGTTTGTCCGCAGACAGCTTCCAGGTCATGTGGCCAGCATGACTAAGCTGCTTCTAGCAAACCAGAGCATCACACGGAAACGCCGTTTACCTACCAGAGCGGTACCTATTTATCTACTTGCACTTCGACGTGCTTTCGAACTGCTAGGTGGGCAGGAGCTGGGACCAAGCAACAGGAGCTCACCCCATCGCGGGGATTCGAACCGCTGACCTTCTGATCGGCAAGCCCTAGGCTCTGTGGTTTAGACCACAGCGCCACCCATGTCACAAATGGATACATGTGTGCAAAAGTAAACTGTGGTTTTAAAAAAATACATCCAGTGCAGCTGTGAATGGAGGGGAGGCCTTTTTGGTTGTGACCTCCTGCCCATGGAATGCTCTCCTCTGATTGACTTATCTGGTGCTCTCTTTTCAGCACCACACAAATATATTGTTTATTATTCTCTCAGGCTTTTAGATCATAAGAAAACCTCTTAAGCCAGGGCTGGTCAGGAGGTAGACTGACATTGATAGGAAGACCTTTGGGTGATTTGTAGTACATAAGCAAAGATTCCTCACTCCCAGCTATTCAACAATAGCAACAACAACACAATCTCCTCTTCCTCCACTAAATTACATCACTGAAATGAAGGAAGTTTGGCATAAATAGGAGCAGATTTGCATGGGGAAGGGCTGCGAGCTCAGCTCAGTTCTGGTTCTCAAAATAAAGCCCCCCTGTTCAGCAGTGCTCAGAGGCACCATGGACGGTATCCAACTAAGCAGTTATAATAATAATAATAATAATTTATTATTTATACCCCGCCCATCTGGCTGGGCTTCCCCGGCCACTCTGGGCGGCTTCCAAAAGAATATTAAAATACTATAATACATCAAACATTAAAAGCTTCCCGAAACAGGGCTGCCTTCAGATGTCTTCTAAAAGCCTGGTAGTTGTTGTTCTCTTTGACATCTGGTGGGAGGGTGTTCCACAGGGAAGGCGCCACTACCGAGAAGGCCCTCTGCCTGGTTCCCTGTAACTTGGCTTCTCGCAGTGAGGGAACCTCCAGAAGGCCCTCAGTGCTGGACCTCAGTGTCCGGGTAGAACGATGGGGGAGGAGACGCTCCTTCAAGAAGTTTTGAGTTACGCTAACTCAAGAAGTTTTAACTTCCACATCCTCTCCTCTCCCCTCATGTGCCCCATAAATTTACTCCAGAAGGTTGGGGGACAGACTTAGGGATTTCACAGAGGGGCATACAGGGAAAGGAAAGTGTGGAGCAGCTAAAACTCCTTGCACTAGCAGAACATGTGAAAAGGACTTAGAGGTCTCAGTAGACCACAAGCTTTAAATAAGTCCACAGTGCGATGCAGCAGCAAAAAAAAAAAGGCTCATGCTCTTCTAGGCTGCATCAACAGACACTTCCTTTGTGCACAGAACAAGGGAAGTCATAGTACCACTCTCTTACGCCTTGGTCAAACTACACCTGGAATGATGTGTCAAGTTCAGGGTTCTGCAATTTAAGGATATTGACAAGCTGGAACATGCACAGAGCCACCAAGATGTTCACCAAGCCTTATGAGGAGCAGTTTAGGGAGTTGGTTGTGTTTAGCCTGGTTAAGAGGAGATTGAGAGGAGATGAGATAGCCAACTTCAAGTATCTAAAGGGCTGTCACATGGAGGATGCAGCAAGCTTGTTTTCTCCTGCTCTGGGGGTTAAGACTCAAACCAGTGGCTTCAAGTTATAAGAAAGGAGATTCCAACTAAACATCAGGAAGAACATTCTAATGGTAAAATCTGTTTGAGAGTGGAACGGACTCCCTCAGAAGGTGGTGGACTCTCCTTCCTTGGAGGTTTTTAAGCAGAGAATAGAGAGCCATCTGCCATGGATACTTTAGTTGAGATCCTGCACTGCAGAGTTTGGACTAGATGACCCTCAGCACCCCTTCCAACGCTACAATACTATGGAAACTGTCCCATGTTGTTTAATTTTAAATGCATGTCTTTTGCAATTGGTGGATCTCAGGGTTCAGTAAAAATACAAAATTGATCCTGCAAACCTGAAGTTTCCAGGTCCACTCCTGTGTCACAACAAACATACATATCCATTTTTCTCCCTGTTTCACAATGCCTATATTCTACCTGTAGGATTCATGTCCTCCTTCCCATCAGCAGCTGGTTGGCCACTGTGGGAAACAGGATGCTGGCCTTTGGTCTGATAAAGCAATGCTCTTAGGAACATAGCAAGTGCAGTAAATGGAATCAGCCCATTCATCCATCTAGCTCAGTAATGTCTACACTGACATTCCCAGTCCTACCTGGAGATGCCAGAGATTGAACCTGGGACCTTCTCCATGGAAAGCAGAGGCTCTGCCATTGAGCTACAGCCCTTCCTACATTCCAGACTGTAGCTCTAGATGAACCTCTAGGTCATTGTGTGATGTGATGGCCAGGCCTAAAGGGCAAAGACTCTACCTTGTTCCATGTGCCCAAAAAGGAGCCCTCATAGCTCTGTGCTTATGCTAAGCGATGCAAAGTGTAAGGAAGCCATATATTGCAGGCTGAAGCAGCATCTCTCTCTTGTTGCTCGGGTCTAGTTTATTTGCCTTAGTAGGTCTCCAATTCAATGGATAATTATATATTTTTTATTTTTGGTGAAACATTCCCGTCTGGTCAGCTGGAGACATTGACAATTCTCCACAAAAAAACTTAGCTCCCGTTCTGTAAGGTCTCCACCTTAGGAGCTGAAGCCTAGAGAACGGCACTGGTAGAAAAGAAGAACAGGAATCATATCCTTAATCCTACACTATAATCACAAAGAAAGGGTTTTGTTCAGGACTTAGCCTAAATGGTGATCAAATGACCGGTCTGGTGAAATCTGTGCGATTTCCAATGGATTGCATCGTCAAGGGGTTACATTTCATAGATTGTTTTCAAACAGAGAAGGTTGGCAATAGAACAAAGTTACTACTTAGCAGTGGTGGTGGAAGTAAAAGTTCAATGTCCCAAACGATTCAGTGGAAACGTTGGGTCTGAACTGATTGTATGAAGAAGCTGGACTGGGGTGTGTGTGTGTGTGTCTTGTTTTCGTTTGTTACTATGGTAGGTATCTTTGTGTTTTTATACTGTAAACCAACCTGTGATGAAGGGTGGAAGAGAAAGTTGACAAACAAATGACCAAACCAAACCAAACCAAACCAAACCAATGGTAAGTGAATGCAGGGTTTGGATCACAGAAATAGGGAGATTTAACAATTCTTTGCATATTATTATTATTATTATTATTATTATTCTATCCACTGCGAGGGGTGCAGAAGAAAGGTAGGAAGAAGAGACATTCAACTCTGACACTCCCAGTCTCTTGGAGTATCAATCACCTGTATAATTCCATAATTTACGATGAATAACATATCCTCACACCAGGATTCACTCAGAGTCAAACACATTATAACAGCAAGTTAGATGTGGTTTGTGCAATCAAATCTGTTTTCTTTAAAAACAACAACACAGTTATCATCCCCTTCACTCATCCAATGACTGATCTGATGAGCAGGGTGGAATTATTTTGCATTCTAGTTGGGAGGCTAGGCTCCACCCATTCCAGAACTGTGCCTACATTAAACTGGTTTTGTTTTTCCTTCTGCTGCTGCCGAGAGTAAGGGGAGGGATAAAAATTACTTGGGGAGTCAGGCCAGGCCCCCCAAATCAGGGACCATTTAGACCAGCCCCACTTGGACATAGGACTTACTTTTATGTATTGCATCAACATCAGTCTAGCTTCAAAAGAACCTACAGAGAATGAGTTCAGATTGCTCATTGACATCTTGAGCTCTCCACCACTCTGCCTTAATGGTCAGATGCCTATGATTGCTGTGTATTTTCTGGGGAGACTAAATCCAGTTAACACTGCTGAGGGGCTGCTGAGAACAATGGAGCTTCAGTGAGCTAACAGGACTTTAATAATTTCCCAAGGACAGCTCAGAATGACAGCGCAGCATATCAGCAAGTTTCCCTCTCACTCTCTCAAAATCAGGTCAGCAATCTGGACACAACGGGGGCTTCTGTCTGCAGGACAATAGGAACGTTCAACATTTACTCAACTTTGCCATACTGCTTAGGAAACTTCCCAAACTCCTGAGCTACCACAACTTCATTTGCAGGGCTGTTCTGTTTGCTTTTGAAATGCACAAACTCATAAAAGTTCAGAGTGTGGTGGTCCAATTTCTTTCTTCCTTTAATTATTACAGGCAGGCAGGCAGGCTTTTTTTATTTTTTAGAAAGCCAATTCATCGAGGTCCCAGCCATGACACCCATACTTCCAGAAATTAGGTCAACACAGACAGCAAAAAGAAGCCCATGAACCCTAACCCAAAACTGTTTTGACAAGCTGCTTAAAAATATACAGGGAAGCAGCCTGTTCCACATCCAGGGCCGGCGCAGCCATGAGGCAAGGTGAGATGACAGCCTCAAGTGGCAGGATCCACAGCGGCGGCAGATTACTACTGCAATGCGCTCTACGTGGGGCTACCTTTGAAGGTGACTCGGAAACTGCAATTAATCCAGAATGCGGCAGCTAGACTGGTGACTGGGAGTGGCCGCCAAGACCATATAACAACGGTCCTGAAAGATCTTCATTGGCTCCCAGTACATTTCCGAGCACAATTCAAAGTGTTGGTGCTGACCTTTAAAGCCCTAAATGGCCTCAGTCCAGTATACCTGAAGGAGTGTCTCCACCCCCATCATCCAGCCCAGACACTGAGGTCCAGCGCTGAGGGCCTTCTAACCATAGGACGCACCTTGTTTTAGAGGGGGAGAACAAGAAAAAAAATTCTCCCCCTCTCTGCTCAGCAGCCCTTCAGCGAAGCGGCAGGAGAAACAGAGCCCCTTCCATTTTTCCTCCTGCTTCGCTGAAGGGGCGCTGCGCAGCTCTCCCTCTCTGCTGAAGCCGGGAGAGTCTTGCTCTCCCGGCTTCAGCAAAAGGAACCCGAAGCCTTTGGAGCGCAGCGTGAGGTCCCACTGCGCTCCAAAGGCTTCAGGGACAGCCACCTGAAGCCTTTGGAGCGCAGCGGGAACTCGCGCTGCGCTCCAAAGGCTTCGGGTTCCTTTCGCTGAAGCCAGGAGAGTTGAAATTACTAGTTTTATAAGGATTATAGTGGCACCAGCATGTCATGCATTGTATACACTGAGTGAAAGATGCACGGCTCCTCACTGCCATGCATCGTTCAGTATTTTTTCATATTTTGTATATTAGGAAAAGTTTGGTGGGTATTTTTAAATCAAAGTGTATTTGCGGGTCTAATTAGATATCTCACGAAAAAAACACACCAAAAACCGCTTTCATACCAACATCTGGCAATCACAAATGGCCTCCACTGGGGTGCAGAATATGAAATATGACCCTCACAAACTTCTAACTTGACACGCAGCAGTAATATTGGACAATGTAAATGCACCTTAAGTAGATTACACTCATCCAGCAGAATCTGCACAACAGGTTTAGCTGCTTAGCAACCCACACAGAAGACAATCAACTAAAATGAATTACAAACCATTGATTAGGCCCAGATAAATATAAGACTGACCAGCCACAGTCAGGTTAATTGGCACTCTAAATCACAAATGACACGTTTTGCCCCTCAAGCCACTATTATGAGAGAAATTTAGACTGCTGTCCACAAATCAGTTACTGGAAAGTTGCCAGGGCATATTTTGTCAATGGGATCTGCAAATGACAACTCCAGAGACATTTCTTCTTTTTCTTTTGCTCAATAAAAGCAAGGGAAATTAAATAACTCTTTTATCGTGATTGTGGAAGAGACTGATGCACATATTCGTCTTTCCTTTAAAAAAGTCCACAAGCACTGGATCTGCCTTGGGCGCCCAGCCGGCCAGCAGGGAGCTATAAGCTGCCATTTAACATTTCCCAGAATGCCTCAGAGCATCCAATGTTGCATCGTTCTAGGGATGGACAACCCGTGGGCCTCCAGACATTGTTGGATTCCAGCTTCCTTAAGTCCCCAAAGTGCATGGCCAACGGTCAGGAATTCTGCTTCCTACCTGACAGACAATAAGATTTCAGGACTGCTGAAAGTGACTCAAGAGAGGTCAACACACACCTGTTCCTCTAGTCCCACTGTTGCCTCTATTCATTTGACTGGTTTTCAGGAAAGTGCCTATAATGGATAGCGATTTTTTCTTCATATGAGCTTTAAACAAAAAGTGCGTATCTCTCCCTGGAAGCACGATGGCAAGGAGATGAGCACAAAATGTGCATCCTTAGACTCGTAGAAATGTAGGGCTGGAAGGTACCTTGAGGATCATCCAAGTCCCTGCAATGTAGGAAGATGCAGCTGCCCCACATGGGGATCGAACCTGCAACCTTGGTGTTATCAGCACCATGCTCTAACCAATGAAGCTATCCAGCAATTATTTCATTGGCTATCCAAGCCAAAGTATCTCAAGTCCCAATCTGCAGAAAGAGGGCTAATACTGCACAATAATGCATGCAGTAAAGATGTCTGAAAGTATGCACGTGAAGCCCTATAAACCCCGATAAAGCTCTATAAAATATGAATTTATGGTTGTTAATTCTACGCGGGGGATCTCGCCATTGCGAGGACAGATGAAACAAAGCCGTGGATTAAGGGAAGGTTTAAATGCTCTGATTAGGGTTCCCCTTCACCCTCACAGCTTAGAAATGCAACTTCACTAAACTTAACCAAGCACTGGATTATTTGCATGCTTCTGTGACATTCTTTTGCCTGCAATCCAGAAGGCAGATTTCATACCAGAAATCCTAAACGGGAAGCCTACATTGGAAAAGAAAGAAAAAGAATCGCATTGGTTGGTTTTCAGTGCTAACAGGACGCAGAAAGAACTCATTTTACAGGAGCTGATTTGGTGAATATATAAAGGATATCGATGGCATAATGTTTTCCGTCTCAAGGAGTATTTCTTGCAGTTGGCAGCATGAGAGCTGACGCTGGTAGTTACAAGAAACTTCTCTTTCTTAAGTCTGCAACTGTGACATTGACTTTAACTGTTGAATTTATACTGTTCTTTTCTCATTTGGTTTTACTTGTTTTACAAGTGTTCTGGTTTTCTCCTGGGTTTTTTTTATAGATGGTGCATGATGTTATTGTAACCTGCCCTGGGACCTTGTAGTGAAGGGTGTGGGGTGAGAAATCTTATAAACAAGCTAAGAGTTGCTATAACTTATGTCAAGGAATTCATAATACATGTGAATATGCACTTTGCCACTGAGAAATATCTCATCTGTATTGGAATTGGAATTGTTATCACATGTGAAATTGTTTTAGGTTGTTTTTACATATGGAGTTATTTTTTCATTGTTGATGCTTTTACTGTGAAATTGCTTTGAGGTATTTTATGGGAAGAGACTCATAAATGGCTTCAAATAAATAAACAAATGTGTGCTATGTAAAAGCAGCAAGATCTGCCTGTGTTTGTCCTTTTGAATAGTTTAAAAGAGAATTCAAAATCGATTACAATGCCGCTCCTACTGAATGTATGAAGTTATGTAACCACCTCATTTCCTTCAGAGAGACAGAACCAAAGCAATTGGGGTTTTTTTTGGGGGGGGGGGAGTTGGTTTTTCCCTTTCTTTTTGTATCTTCAGTGCCACCTTCTGGCACTTTAAAGGCAACACAGGATATATATTTTAAAAGTCCTTTTAAGAAACCAACACTGCTCATTACAATGGAGGTTGCACAAGAGAATTGGTTGGAAGACTACATAATCATTGACTTAAAAAAAAAATCATCTATTTGGCAAAGCAGCATTATAGTTTTTTGTTTTGGTTTTTAAAACATGTTCAGCTTAATGTAAAATAAAGGAAACAAAACCCATTTAAATGTTCATATACAGAAAAGAGAGTACCACTTTCTACAAAAGACAACATCTTGGCTCCAATGACCAGAATGTTTGGAATGAATGAATCAGTTCATCCACTGAATTCAAGCTATAAGAAAGGAGATTCCAACTACAGAAGAATTTTCTGGTGGTAAGAGCAGTTCGACAGTGGAATGGATTCCCTCAGAAAGTGGCGGACTCTCCTTCTTTGGAGGTTTTTAAGCAGACGTTGGATAGCCATCTGTCATGGATGCTTTAGTTGAGATTCCTTCCTTGCAGAGGGTTGCACTAGATGAGCCTTAGGATCCCTTTCAACTCTACAATTCTGTGATGCTACGATTTCTAACCTCCTGCACTTCCATATTTGCTCATTCATAAATCTGTTCTATCCCATTTGCGCATTAATCTATGATTTTCTTAACCTAAGTCTGCACAAGTATTCACAATGAAAAATGCTATGAAGATACTTCTGTAAAACGTGTCTTGCCTCGAAACACGGATTATCCAATCCCCCAAGCATCCTACTATAAGGTATTTCAAGAGAATATGCATTCCACCAAGACCGCATTCTCAAATAATCAGCCTCCCCTTCAAAGGTCTATCTCCAAAGGTAGCTAGATTACAATTTCCTTCATCCCTGACCATTGGCCATGCTTGCTGGGGCTGATGGGAGTTGGAGTCAAGCAAAGCATCTGTGAGGTTCCCCATCACTGCTTTAAGTGAAGGAAATACCCAATTGTCCCTTGCAGAATTTTACATGGTTGAATTTCTCTTCCCACCCTCAGCAAAAAAAATAAATCACCATAATCCAGCAAAACATAGTCATGACTAAGTCACCATTAAATCACTGGGGCTTCAAGCTATTCACAATTACTGTATTTTTCCGTGTATAAGACTATATTTTTTCCTAAATGTCAGATGCTGGTGGTGGTTGCTCGTGAGTAACCAGGCAGGACTCCGACCTGTCTTTTACAGGTTTTATTGGTGCAAACTATTTACAGTGCAGAACCCCAAAGTTCATGTCTGTCTTAGTCACTTGCAGATTCTGGGAGTGGCCCCTTCTGGTTTCTCCCCCAACATAAGAACTTAGACACCCCCAATACCCGCTTCCCCTCCTTACATTTCAACCCTCTGCGCAAGCTGGGCGATGTTTCCTGGCCAGCCGGGCTAGGTGAGGCTGTGATGACCTGAGAATTGGATTCAGAGGCTGAACCTGAGGAATCCCAGCCTGCACAGGAGTCCCCGCCTCCAGGGCCGACTGAGCCGGGGCAGGGGCTTGAACCTGAAGGGCCCTCACCTGTGCCGGATCCTCTGGAGCAGACACCAGATGAATCCGCTCTGGCTCCGGAGGTGATCGTGGACCCATTGTCTGCAGATGCTCCTCTCTCAGCCCTGTCAGGGGAAGGTGAGGTTGCCTCTGGGTCCAGTAACGTTCCAGCCTCTCCTGAGCTGCAGAGGCTCAGGGCAGAGAGGCGGAGGGAACTGTTCGGTTTAAACTATTTGGTTTTTTTCTCCCCTGAACAAAGCATCCCATTTCATATGTATTGCCCTCTGAACTGCAAACATACTATTCCAGGGGTCAGCAAACTTTTTCAGCAGGGGGCCAGTCCACTGTCCCTCAGACCTTGTGGGGGGACTATATTTGGGGGGGGGGGGAATGAATGAATTCCTATGCCCCACGAATAAACCAGAGATGCATTATAAATAAAAGCACGCATTCTACTCATATAAAAACACCAGGCAGGCCCCACAAATAACACAGAAATGCATTTTAAATAAAAGGACAAATTCTGCTCATGTAAAAACTCGCTGATTCCTGGTCCATCTGCAGGCCGGATTGAGAAGGGCCTTAGTTTGCCTATCCATGTACTATTCTTTCTTTTACCTAACTGTTCACAGAATCACTTTGCTAGGTACAAATTCATTCTGTTGCAGCCAAGAAGGGGTTCTGGCTTACAGCTGGACTTTTCATGAACTGACACACAGGCCAGATTCCACAGAGGTTTGATTCCTCAAGTCTGGTGATAGATTTATGGAACCTACCTTGGTCTGGAAGCAGCAGTAGAGCTGTGTTAAGTAAGGATGCTTCCGTGCTAACGCCAGAATCCGTTTTTCTGTCATTGTACAGTCGACATCATCATCTTGTAGGATGACATCTTTCTTTAAGACTTTCACGGCGTATACTTCATCTTTGCCTTTTAGCTCGGCTAGCATGACCTGCAACAAAGAGGCAACTGCACTTTTACACACGGCAAAGAGCAAGTAGTTCGCATACTAAAGTAGCTAAAAAGAGAAATTAAATGGAAGTTTTGCACTAGTGGAAGCCAGCACAACAATTCCCGTTAGCGCAATGGGAATCCCCGCTGCCCACAAATCGGCTCCAGAGAGTTTGGGGAATTCCCAGAATATCATGTGAGGAAAGAGATGAGCGATCATTCCATCTGGCAAGGAAAGGTGCTTCCGCTGACAAAATGATCTCTTTAGTGCCACACTGAATAAAACTCACTGAATGGAGAGGCACACACAGCAGACAATCTTGATGCAAAATGCCTATTCCCACAGTATCTGAAAGACCACTTCCTTCCCTACAGACCTTCTCAAACATTAAGCTCAGCAGAGGGAACCATTTTGGTAGTTTCACCACCCTCAGAAGTTCAGGGGGTGGCAATCCAGGAGAAGGCAATCTCTACGGCTGCCCCTAAGTTTTGGAATTTCCTCCCCACAGAGGTGCGTTTGGCTTCTTCACTCTTCAGCTTTTGAAGAATGCTGAAGATACTCTTCTTTACCCCAGAAATGCGTCTGTTCAGGGTCCACCCTATTCCTGTGGCTGCAATTTGTCTTAACTGCTTTTAATCCTGAATTGTAGATGGTTGTCACCCACCCTGGGACCTGCTGGAGGAGAATAAGGCAGGGGATAAGATAATAATTTCAAGGGGGCAAGTGGAGAACTCCAGTATTCCTAGTTTTTAGATTTTCCTATAAAAGGATTTTTCCTCTCTTTAGTGGTCAGAAATTGTAAGGGGGGTGTGTGTGTGTGTGTGTGTGTGTGTGTGTGTTCCAGAGCCTCCAAAAAGCCAGTCTCTAGCACCACAAGAACTATGGTTCCTCAAGAGGCTAGGCAGACTAGGCCTCATGGAGGAGAGATACACACTAGGCCACAGTTCCAGCCTGAAATGCTACCCAGGCCTCTCTATCTGGCCCTCAGGACACTCCCCAGGCAACAGCCTTCTCCTCAAGCCATACCTCTCACTATCCCTGCTTTGCACTATCCTGGAGTTGTTTTTGCCTGGTTGGAATGCAGTCATTTAATTTCATCCTGATTCTAATTGTTAAGCTGTATTTTAATCAATTGTTTGATTGTGTTTTAATGTATTTGACATTTGACGTTAGCCGCCCTGAGCCCGGTCTTGGCTGAGGAGGGTGGCGTATAAATAAATAAAAATTTACTTACTTACTTACTTAAGCAATGAGCCTTGCTTTCATGAACTGATGATAGAGAGGGATGTGTGTAGAAACAAAGCTAAAATCCACCTTGCTTGCCTTGCCCAAATT